AGCTTTCGTGGCCTACAGCCCACCTTTTTCGCATTAGAGGGCCCGAGTTCACCACACCCTATTCTCTCATAAATTTGTTAGTCTCTAAGGTGCCACAAGTACTCCTGTTCTTTTTGCACATACAAGAAGGGAGAGAGTAGAACAGCAGAGCCAGAAAATGTAGCTTGTGGGTTTGGTGTTGACTCTCAGTTGCAGCCTCACTGCTGGAAAAACACAGGCAGAACACACGGTCTTGTCGTTACTTGGAGACTTGGCAAATTCAGACCAGCACCAGGCTGTTTGGAACATTGTGTTTAGCTGCCTCTTTCTGGTCACAAGCATACAGCCGTGTTGAAAAACATAGTCTTCACCAGCTAAACCAGACTCTTATTAGACAGAAGGAAAAAGGAGAGAGAGAAAGGAAGGAGAAGAAATACGGTGAGCATAGTCCGCTTCCACTTCCCTTACCAACGTCTCTTCTTTTAAAAGCGACAAAGAGTCCTATGGCACCTTATAGACTAACAGAAGTATTGGAGCATAAGCTTTCGTGCGTCTGACGAAGTGGGTATTCACCCACGAAAGCTTATGCTCCAATGCTTCTGCTAGTCTATAAGGTGCCACAGGACTCTTTGTCGTTTTTTACAGATCTAGACTAATATGGTTACCCCTCTGACACTCTTCTTTTAAAGACCCCAAAAAGGAGTGATGGGCGGAACCCATCCCTTCATTAGTTTGTTCATCAATTAGGCCTGTTTTCCGACGCACCAGTTTTGGTTAATTAATTTCCAGTCCCCCACTTCCCTTGTTTACCAACCTTTACACAGTCCTTAAGTTATAATAGCAGCTCTTTTTGTTCCGACTAATCTTTGTGACTCCTGTTTGCACCTTTTCCCCATCAACATTTATTGTTATAGGTTATTGCAATACTTCATAAACTTTATTACTATTGAGTTTATAGTTAAGGTAATTTGTAGGCCCAGTTGTTACAACATGGTGTTGAACCCCATGTTGGATTTCTGTGCTTGGCAGAAATAACTTCTGCTTTCTAGTATTTATGATATTGCTGGAGATAAAAGCGAGGTTTTAAAATTAGCAAACCAGTGCAATATAGTGACAGCAAGTATGGGCTAAGTCTGTTTATATTGTCCTCTTTCCTGTACATTGCTACATAAGGTAGCTAGATGATTTGGACGATGAGCTATTTGGTGGTAATCTGTACCACTTACACTCAAACACGGTAGATACTTTTTAAAAAAAAAGAACTCCTGCATTTACCACAGCCCAAGGTAATTGTTGAAGGCTGGAATCTCATGGCCTTGGTAACGCTGTTCAGGTTGCTTAATGCTTCTGTCCTTGGAGCTCCAATGTTATCCGTATTAGCAGATACTGTAGCATGTTAATTCAGCAGACCTCAATGTTACTCATAAAGAAGGACCACTGGCACGGTTCGGTGGTGAAGGCGCTCAACCAAGTTTATTGTCCTCGAGACACAATACTCGCTTCCAGGATCAATGTCTACAGGTACACAAACACATGAGTGCCCAGTGGCAGGGACTCAGCTCAGTAGCAGTGGGACATTCTGCATCTCCCTAGGCTGGACAAAGGGTTCAGGCAAGGTAACCTGACATTTATAGACTGAGACAAACCATTTACGTACCATCTTAGGTGTTTCATGACTAATATCGTGGATAAAACATCCTTATTCATTATTTTGTCAAACCGTCTTATCTTGTACTAGATTGGAATATATTTGTACTAACTGAAATATATTTATGTAAATATCTAATGCCTAGTAAGCTAGCACCAGCTTTATTAAATTCATGTACTGAACAGCAAGTCGGGTGCGGTGGCGCGAGCCTGTAATCCTGGATACTTGGGAGGCTAAGGCTGGCAGATCTCAGGGGTTCTGGGCTGTTATGCTGGTTGGGTGTCCGGTGCTACTGACACCCTGGCCAGTGGGTGACTGAAAGACTGGCTAGAACAACATAAATGGCATGTTGTGATCGGCGCTCTCTCTGTGAGGGCTGATGGACCGATCGATCAAGGTGACTGAACAGTGATCTCGTAAGTATCTGCTTTAATACATGGCCTGACTTTGGTTCCCAGCCTCTAGTTCAGGCCTTAAATCTTGCACGAGGCCCAGTGCTCCAGGCTTTGTCTACTACAGCAAGAAAGTGTTCTGGAGCAGAGACTAAAAGTGGATGGGGAAACAGAAGCACAAGGGAGTGAATGAACTTGCCAGAGGTCACACACCAGGTCAGCGGCAGAGCTCAGGTCTCCTGACTTGCAGTCCAGTGGTGTTGTCCAATGGCTAAGGCACTGGACTGCAAGTCAGAAGACCTGAGCTCTGCCGCTGACCTGGTGTGTGACCTTTGACAAGTTCATTCACTCCCTTGTGCTTCTGTTTCCCCATCCACCTTTTAGTCTCTGCTCCAGAACACTTTCAATATCAATAGACAATTTCTTATGTGTTTGTATATTGCTTAGCACACAGAGTCCCTAATCTCAGATGGGCCCTCTAGGCATTACTGCAATACAGTGGATGATATTTTTCCCAGCTTGAAGTAACTATAAAACTTCCACTGTGCAGGTGGAAGTGCCTTGCTGTTTGTTTGGAATAAGCAGCTGGACTTGTTCTCCGTGTGGTCAGTAGAGAGTCTCAGAATAACGTCGTGCTGAAAACATCAGCAATAATATCTGAATAATACATCTTGGCATTGCCGGCTCTTATTACCCCATGCCTTCTTTATCTACTCTTGCATTTGGAATATAAGCCCCCTCCCTATGCAATAAATAGCAATTTTCTATAGGTAGCAATCAAATTATCACATGTAATTTCTTTCTAGAGGTTTTGATCAAATTACCCAGTGAGTGAATTAAGTGGCAGGTGATGTGGCATAAAATTGAGACTAAACTCTCCAATTGATCTAG